TCTTGAGGGCGGTGGATTGCCCTGTGTCCTCTCCTCTCTTATGGATCCTAGAATAGTTGTTCATTTTTCAGTCTGTTCAGCTTTTTACTTGTTGTTAGGATGGAGTGGTAGCTTCTAAGCTCCTTATATATAGATCCAGAAACCAGAAGTCTTATGTTATTTTTAAATGAAATGATAAATAAGTATTAAAAATTTTGCTTTAATTTCTGTAATGGTAAATATCGATAGCTATAACTCACATCAACTAAAGCTCTTTGGGACAATCAATAATTTTAAGAGTATAAAGGAGTTCTGAAAACCAGCATGTTGGAGAAAGTTGCACAAGAGTTACCTCTCTAAAAGCATGAGCTTCTGAGGTTTTACAGACAAATTCTTCAGGATCTTTAAAAGACCAATAATTAGTTCCAAAGCTCTTTAAATTCTTTCAGGTTGCAGAAAAAGAATCATTCAAAGTTATTTTTATAAAGTAAATATAACTTTTAAGAAGCAAGTATTGATACTCTCTCTGTAAATGTCCGTGAAAAAAATATTTGAAAAAATTTTAGCAAAAAGAATTCCAACAGCATAAAAGAATAATGCTCCAGACTTAGTGCATTTATTTCAGGGAAGGAAGCAAGCATGATTCAATATGTAATTTTTTCTGTGGCAATACGTTAGAAATTGGTAACATTTGGTTGCTTTCAGGAGGGAAACTGGGTGGCTTGAGGACATGAGAGAGAAAGAAACTTTTTGTTGTAGATCCTTTTGCAGTTTTGATTCATGTGAATGTATTACTCATTGAAAAGTTTAAATAAAATTATTTGTAAATATTGTAACATAAAAATTAGCTATGAGTAAGGATATCAGTAAAAGGGTTTCAGTTCAAATATTGACGTTGTAAAGAAAAGTACAGTTGTATTGGGAGTCTCTAGTATACCCCCTGTCTTTCACTAAATTTAGTAAAATAGAATATTTGAAAAATGTAATTGTTATAAAATGTTAGAAGTTTTAAACAGGGAACATAATGGGACTTTTTGGTGGAAGAGAAAAGTTGGACATGATCAAATTGTTAGAGGTAATCTCTAATGGAATTAAAATAGGATGGATGCATTCTAAGTCATTACAAAACCAAGAGCAAATAATATAAAATCTAAAAACAAAATGAGAGAATTGAGAGCAAAGATATTGGTGATGATAATAAAGGTAAATGGGTGAAATATTCCTTCTAAGAGTTAAAGGTGCTCACATTGGATAAAAAATGAAACCTAATGACAAAGAATGGTTGGGAACAGTGAAGCAGTGCCAGGCTTGAGGATGTTAGGTTGGGTTTGGGGATCTACACGTCTGTCCTGATCTTTTTTTTTTTTTTTTTTGTGAGGAAGATCAGCCCGGAGCTAACATCCGTGCTAATCCTCCTCTTTTTTGCTGAGGAAAACCGGCTCTGAGCTATCATCTATTGCCAATCCTCCTCCATTTTTTTTTTCCCCCACAGCCCCAGTAGATAGTTGTATGTCATAGCTGCACATCCTTCTAGTTGCTGTATATGGATTGCGGGCTCAGCATGGCCGGAAAAGAGGTGCGTCAGTGCGCGCCCGGGATCCGAACCCGGGCCGCCAGTAGCAGAGGCGCGCACTTAACCGCGAAGCCGCGGGGCCGGCCCTGCCTCGTCTCCCGATGTGGAAGCTCTGTAGTGTGGGATCTTAGAGCAGTGGAGGTGCTCAGAGCAGCGGATTCTCCCCTCCACCTCATCATGCTGATTGTTTGCAAAGATGGCAAGTGTCTAAGACTCTAGGTTGTGGTTGGAAATTGACTGTCACTGTAGAACTGATCCTGTAGTTGCTACAAAACAAGAATATCTCTCTAACCCAAAATGATAATATCATTTGGAGGGTATTTTTATTAGAGACGAGATGAATCATTCTTCCTTACTGGAATAGTAGGTTCTGTTTATCACACAACTCAGAGTTCTTAAAAGAAAAAGTTTTAATCTAATCTGTTTGGTGAGATGTGATCTGATCAGGGAGTGAGCACGTGCTCCTGCTATGACTCAAACCTCCTATGAGCCGTCTTCAGGCCTGCTCTTCACGCTGGCCAAGGCAGCTGCCCCTCTGCAACTCTGCAGAACGGGTTTAACCCTTCAGAGGGACAGAGCTTGCTGTGCACTCTCCCGTGTATATAATTCAAAATAAGGTGTTATTTTTCACAGCGACACAAAAACTTGCATCCTGAAGTTCAAATAGTTTCTAGATGTTCTGATTACAAAATTCTGGATAGGTGTATTAAGCTCATTTCTTTCTGCTCTTTCATTGCTTAAATCCAGTGTATTTTCTGCAATAAACCCCATGTGTTTTCTAACCGAAAAGAGCTGTCATCCTCCTCTCCTCTCTGTCCTCCTTCTCTGTTATCCTGCTTGATTCAGACCTTTATCACCACTGTCTGGGCTTATTCTGGTATTCTCTTAAACCACTGTCCTTACTTTCAGGGTTTCTGTCTTTCAGTCTATCCTCTACTCTGTACCCAGGATCGAGTCTTTCTTAAAGAGAGGGAAAGCTTAAAATATAGGGGGAAATGCATATCAACAGGTTAAAAGCATATAGTATACTATTAGTATATTTATTATAACTATTATTTGTCTATAATTTTGTATTTCTTCTATGTGTTCTATCTCTGAGGCGCTGCTGGTGTTTATTTAGATGCTGGAATAGTTTTAACTAATTTCTGCATTATGATTTTCTCCATGTTGAATATAATTGTCTTTACTAAATTTACCTAGAAATTAGAGATCTACACTACAATATTGAACTCTTCTTTTAAGGTTTTTTATATATATGGTTTATTATAAACAGTGTTTGGGTTTACCAGTATCAAGATACATTCCCCTCAAGATAGCTGGCCACTAGGGAACAAGTCTAGGCTCCAAAGTTAACGAGTAGGACCTCAACAGTAATTTTATTATGTAGATATTACAGTTTTTTCTGCCTTCAGTTTTCGTCTTTTGAATTGTCTTTTGTCATAAATCCTTATTCTCTTAAGGCCTATAAATTTATCTTCACAACAAGATTTGTCGTAGGCCTTTTGCAGCAAGTTCTGACTTTGGGTCTTTCTAAAAGGGTTTAAAGAGGCAAAAGAAGAAAATCAGTTGAATATAGAAATACATTAAATACAGCAACAATGTGCCACCTCACTACTAAACAAGTTCCCATCAAATTTAGAAAGTTAAACAAATGATCAGCTAAGGTGCTGGTGGTAGAAGTTCACGTTGTTACAGGTTTTCTAGAGGGCGGCTCTGCAGCCTGCATTAAGAATTTTAAATATTTTTTTCTCTTTGATTTCAAACTAGAAATGTGTACACAGGGAATACTCATATATAAATGTTAATGTATGTACAAAGACGTTCACTTTGGCCTTTTTATAATTAGAAAATGTATTAAATTGTGGTGTTATTGACTGAAGTATTTAGGGGTAAAAGACCATAATGTTTATAACCTACCCTGAAATGATCAGAGAAAGAATCAGGTACACACACACACACACGGTGCGGATGATAAAGCAAATAGAATAAAATGTTAACAATGGCAAATCTGAGTAAAGGGTGTGTGATAAAGAGCATTCCTTGTGCTGGTTTTAGTTTTGCAGCTTTTTGTATTTTATATTTGTGTTTTGAAATGACTTCCAAACAAAAAGTTTTAAAAGTATGGTAATTAAATTATGCACTATTAAAAATCATGTTACATATTTGTTTGTTAATTGGTATTAGTGGCTGTTTATAAAGAACTGAGAGAGTTCAAACTTTGGGAAGATGGCTTGAAACTTACTTGTGTTCATGGTTACAGAGAGTGGAGGGATCTTGATGATGGTGAATCTTCTTTGCCAAGAAGAGTTTCTCAAAGATCTGGTGTAAATCTGCAGTCAGGGTTAGTCGGGGAACGTTGTTGCAATGATTCTGCTTTAATCAATAAATTCTACTATAATTTTTAAGTTAAATCTTTCCTGAAATGGCTGTATCTTACAGAAGCTTTCATTCTTAACTTTTTTTTTTTTCTCTGACCTTTTTAGTGAAACAGTCATGCTAACTTCTCTGTGAATTTATCAGGTGTTATCTTGGTTCTATGGGACAAAAAATCAAAATCTTTTCCCAGATATCATCTCCCACTAAGGTGATTTTCTGAAGTGTTCTTTTACATTTGTTTGTGTTCTATCTATCTTTATATTATAGCACAAAAGATAATATATATCATACATATTTACATAGTTTATGAGTTTGAGAAAGGGATTTTTCACCTAAGGAACTCATTGTTAACATATTTTTGGATGACCAGAAACATTCCTTGGAGTATTGTTTCAAAGTAATATTTTCGTCTCTGGGATGTGTCCATTTTGCAATTTAAGTAGAATATATGTATCACTAGGAATTATATGAATGACTTGTGTTTATTAAGAAATTTGGAAGATCTTAGCTCATTGAAGATACTGCTAAAATTTTCAGATGCTCGCGTTAGTCAGGAGTTGTTATGTAACCTGCGCGAAGGTGTGTGGTGGCGTACTGAACAGAGAGCTCGGTTTCTGGTCGTGCAGCTGAGGGAGTTGATGACTAATCCCTACACAGTCACAGTGCGCTAGTCTCTGCTTACGTATTTAGGGAGCAGAGAGCTAAGGTTGGTGCTTCTTATTTAACCTCTTTGTCCCTGTCTGTCCCCCAAAGCTGAACATGGACTCCTGTAACGGTGGTGAGGACTGCGGGATCACCAGCAGATAAGCTAGCTGGCTCTTCTCAGTGTGTGATAATTTTCTATACCTTTTTTTTAGGGTTGGTCAGATTTAGTGGTCCGGTTTTTATGTCGGCAGATGATTAGTTTCTGACAAATATTTACACTGCAGATGTTGGCGTTAGCACTTGTCAGGACCCACTGAGCTACTTCAGCTTTCGCCCTATTTGTAAGAGACCCCACCCCTCAGACCTGCCCTGTCTGGGAGTCATTCCCAGTAAGTACAGGTTTCTGGTCCTCCAACATTTAATAAACTGATTCTTGATGTCCTTCCTGCAACTAATTTTAACCTATTTAGTCTCTTGACCTTGTGTTGTGAAAATTCTAAGTTTGAGAATAACAGTGAGCACTAACAAATTGGAAGGAAAAGATAATAAGGGGAAAGAGGAAGGGGGAGAGAGGCATTGATTGATTAGAGAAAGCAAGAGGCTGACAGAGATGTTAGGCTGACAGTAGAGTGGTTTAAACTGAAGGTGCCCCCAAGCTTGTGTCTCCCTGACTTGTGTCTCCCTAACGTGGGCTCTTGTGCTCCTCAGCATCATTCCTTAATGTGACACCTTCTCCCCAGGCTTTCTCACGTTTGTGCTTTCACTCAAGTCTGTACAGATAACCAAGAGACTCCCTCATTTCACTTTCCTCCTTTTGAGTAATTCGGCTTACTGTCAGTAGGCTGGATTAAAAGCCCCTGATATTTTTTCTGTTCAATTGGCCATATACCTGATGTCTTGAAATATAATATTTTGAGTCTTAAATTAATTGAACTTAATACATTGAATTCCATATCGACTTTTTGTCAAAATTCAGTTCTTGTTTGCTCTAAATTTATGTCCCTAAATTTAATAAATCATTCTTTTAGTTATACGTTATTTTTAGCTTATACAATAATAAATACTAATATCTTTGAACGTAAAGGCTTTATTATAGTTCTGCTCCACATGTGCACTTAGAAAAGCTGATGTGTTCTTTTGAGAGATTCTGGCATGATTATTATATGGTACGTAATGGAAACTGCCAGCTTGACAGTTGCTTCTTTTCATGGACTCCACCAAAGCTCATTGACGTCATCCAGACTGGAAGGCATGGTCTCTGCCAACTTTGGACAAGATGTAATACAAGTTTCTTTACAGTTTTTCCACATCCACACAAGTGCAGTTTTTTCCATTTTCTTTTACTCCTGGCACGTGGTAATGTTTCATTCCATGTAAATGTGTTTTGCCCATTATCTTGAGCTTTTTATTCATTTTAGCGCTTTACTCTACCCCATATTAGGGCAGCAAGGGAACCTTTCAGGATATTTACATTGTAGCCTAAGAGCTCTTAACTTAAGGCTTTTAGTCGTCATCTTTTTGTTCGTGGTCTCTGGTAGCCTCTGGCTCATAGTAGAGATTGAATATATTCTTGTTGTGTCAAATTGACTCAAACCGTATGTCTTCTACTAGTTAGATTTTATAGGGTCCCCATGTGTAGTTCTCTAGAAATAATCTGTATTTTAAATTAAAATTTGGGCTGGTTGCTGCCTTTCTGTTGAATCAAATGTCTCATGTTGTCTTTATTATAATGACCCACTGTCAAAACATACAAAATTCTTCGTAAATGTTCCCTTAGATCCTCATGTGTGTTTGATTTGGGGTTGTTTCCTGTCTTCCTGACAGGGCTGCGCTAGACTTGGATACTTGTTCATACTTAGTTATATGATCAGAAAGAACATCTGTTTCTATGTGTATTTTGAGCTTAAAAGCTTGTGTCATACTGATTTTATTGTCTTAGATGATCTCTGTCTCTAACATATAGTAACTCCCACACATGGGTAGATCCTACTATATTTGGAAGCTTTTACTGCTTCTTCACTTTAAGCATAAAAATTGTTGCATGGCATTTCCCTTAGCCATGACTTTTTCTTTGTTAAAATGTTTTTCTTGTTATCTTTCGTTCTATACTGCCTGGTTGTTACTTTCCTATTTACAAGCGTATTTTTTTCAGCCATTATTTGTTTGACCTGCTACAGTGGCTATCCATCATTTGTGATTTAGTCTCTCTCTCAAACATGAGCATGCCAGCCTCTACTTATAGTTGTAGTATTGTAGACTAAGGTCATATTTTGTCTAGAGTTTCTATTAAATTTTAGTTTGTTCCCAATCATTCATTTGTCTTGAAATCATATTTGGTTGTTTCAAAAACAACATTTCTGTAATAGTTCGTGGAGCTATCACAGGAAACAGTAATCTCATGTTCTTTTTCATCATGAATGTTCCTACCTGCTTCATATAACAATCCCCTTACCAAGCAGTGCTTGTACGGGTGAGCTCTGCTGTCTTGAATCAAATTAGGAAACAGAGCATTCTGCCCCACGTGTGTGTATTTTTAAAAACTTATCTAGTTTCCAGGTGATTGTGAAATACTTGCATTTGAAAACCACCGATTTTTGTTTCTTCTTTGTCCCAAATTGAAAGAATAGAGTATTCTGTCTCCTAGATATCTTCTCTAACTTCATAGCGTTAATTGGGGAACTGATATGGTTTGGACCTTAATCTTAAGAAATTGAGTGGTAGTTTGATTCTGCTTATGCTTTGGAACATTGGGGAATTTGGAGATTTAACTTTAGGCTTCATTTTGTATGTTACACATTAAGGCCTTGTGTACTTTCTTTTCCTTCTCTCTTTCTCAGCTCACCAATAAGGGAATTAAGAATGTAATGAATAAGGAGCTATGTTCAAGTCCTGAGTTTAAGCAGTAGAGGGATCCATCCTATCACAGACCCATCTCTGAAGGGTGGAAATGCCTAATCCATAACTATAATAAGAGTAATCTTTTAAAGGGGTTTTATATTGACTATTTTATCAAATCCTGTCAAAGTGAACATTGCATTTTGCAAACTTAAGATTATAAGAATTGCTTAAGAGAAAGAATGTTGTTTATACAGTTTATTCTCGTGTTAACATTGATCTGGGCAGCTCCTTTATTTCTTTGATTTGTAATAAGGCATGGACTGTCTATATATTTTAAAGTAATGAGATTGTATGCATATTTTGAAGTCTTTTAAATGTGTGCATTTATTTCTGCAGCACGTAAAAGTATGCAGTGGTCTTCAGGATGAAGCTATGCTGTCATGAAGAATAAATCTGGTTTTGTTAAAATAAATAGTATGAAGTCAGGTGTTTAAAAATATTTGCACCTGAAACTAATATAATGTTATATGTCAATTATACCTCAATAAAAACATTAATTAATTAAAAAATAAAAACCTGAAACTAATATGATGTTACACGTCAATTATACCTCAATAAAAAAAATTTGATCTCTATAACAGTAGCTATAGCCGTTAATGTTAAATGTTTATTCTTTGCCCAAAAAGACATATTGCCTGCATTATCTCGTTTAATTTTTATAACAGTCCTGTGAGGCCTGTTTTACAGTGAGAAAACTGAGGATCATAGACCTTAAATAGCTTTCCTAGTGTCACAAAATTAGTAAACGTGGCAGAGCTGGGATTCACGCTCAGGCGTGTAGCTCCAAACACCGTGTCTTATCCGCTCTGCTGCCCTGCCTCTCCGTGTCAGCACGTGCTGCTCTACTGAAGACCACTGCTCTGCTGAGGACCTAGCTATTTTTGTCCCTATTTATCCACACGTGCTAAATGTAAAAATTCTTCCAAGAAGACTTATCCCATAAATGTAATTATTCAGTATCGACAACAAGCTTTCAGATATGGCTCCTATTCTTTTTGAGGAAAATTAAGGAAAAAAGAGGTTAGAATATAGCATGTCTTCAGATTTTTTATTTGGTTATCATTCAACGTGATCTTGCCCTAGACTAGAGTTAAAACCTTATGGCACAAAATTAAAATTTTTTTAAAACAATCTCCAAGAGAAATTCTTGATTATATGCATCTAAATAATTTTTTTGGTTTTAAGGGGGCAGATATGGTGACTCAGAGCTCCCTCTTGTGGACCATTAAAGCAAGTAGCGGTCAAGTCTCAAGATCCAAAGGCTTTTTTGTTAAAAACCTCTTTTGTCTAATAACTAAATGTCAGTGACACCTTTTGCTGTGCCGTTTGAATGATAGAGTCTGTGGGAGAGTTGGAAGAAATGCTGCTCAAGACGCATTGTTTCTCCAGGCCTTTTGTTTCCTTAACGTATTGCCTACATTTCCTGTCTACTTTTCTAATATGAGGGAAAAGTAAGAGAAAAACCTCTGTTTTGAATTTGCCTGCTGTCCCACACTTCATTTTTTGGCTCAGGGAAGCTGAGAATGGATGACTGGAAGTCATTCCCATGATCATTAGGTAACAACGCTCATTTAGTTTTGGTGGAGGCTGATTAGTTTGTTCATGGTCACACAGTGAGGTAATGTGATATTTTAGAAGAGAGCCAGCACAGCCAACAGCTCTTTAATAGTAATTTGATTAATTCACTGAGCCGGTTGACTTTCTAAGCTGGATTGGAATGTAGGTAACCATGTAAACTAGAAAAGGCCGGGTACTTAAAACAAATAGTCCTAGCCTGGCAGAAGCCAGACTTTAATAAAGACAATTTTAATCTATCATGTATGATGCTGTGAAATAAATAATGGTGTGTCTCATGTTACAGAATGAGGACATGAGAATATTGGTAATAGGGTCAGATTTTATGTAATATGGTCAGAGGGTGAGCTTTCTAGTAACTTTGCAAATGAAAGTACTAGTTAAGTTCTCATAGTCACTCTTACCTGTTCCCAGTTCCCCATGTATCCTTTTATATTTTCCTAAATGATACTACTTACTCAACATGATATCCTTTCTTCTCTGTAGTGGCCTCTACTTGCTTCTTTTAATATAAGAGTTTTCCTTCTAATCATTACAATAAATCAGTGTGTATGTGTGTGGGGGTGGAGGGAGGATGGGGGCAAACCTGAAGGAACTAAAAATTTCCATCAGATGATCTCGTGATGCTTCATCCTTGATTTATAGTTACTAATCCTTTTTCTTAGATCAGATTTTATAAGCTATTCTAGGACAGTTCTGGAAAGCTCTCTAATTTTCTTTTAGAAAACTTATTCTGCAGTTTGGCAGTGTGTTTTAGAAGCCATTGAAATGTACTCCTATGTGCTTGTTATACTTCTGAGAATTTAAGGGAATCAGTTAGGATATGTGCAGAGAATTAGTTATAAGAATGTTTATTATAGACTTATTTGTAAGAAAGATAAAAGTTGGAAACAGAACCAGCCCTGATGGCCTACTGGTTAGAGTTTGGTGCTCTCACCGCTTCGGCAGCCCAGGGTTCA